AGGGCGCTTTTTCCGGAGGATCGGGGCCAGTGTAGACGCTCTCTTCTGGCTTTTCTAAAAGCCGGAAAAAAGCGGCGGACATTTTTATTTAAATGCCGCGGGGGATATTTAAATCCCCCGTGGATTTCCCTACTATGATAGCTGAAATTAACATGCCCCTTCCGGAAAAGGGGCCAGTGTAGACGAGCCCGATATGTGTAATATATGTAGTCAAATGCATTCATTAAAAAGATCAGATTTTTACTAGAACAAGCATGTAGGCATGGACTTATTTGTAAACATGCTTTTCACAAGGCATATTTCCTGGCAACTCTTAGGATTTGTGATTACTAAATCATAAGAAAGCAAATATGGAAAAATATCTGTGCATTGAAAAACATAGTATCATATTGTGGTTCTTTCTGCTAGAAAAAAACAATAGTTCCACAGTAGAGTTTATTTCTTCAGTGATGGAAAAATACAATTTGCTAAATATAAAATTATCAACAGTAAACAGAGATGCTGATTCAAAGAAAAATAAAATAGAATCATTGTGAAATTGGCTTAAGATACCTTAAACATTGCCAATTATGCAGTGGTTACATATATTCTACATAGAACAGTATTTCATTATCACATGAGAACTTATTAAAATATTTTGTGGATATGTTTATAAGCAAGTGTATTTTTTCTGAAAATATGGATCAGAGGAGTTTTAGTGTTCTGGTTCACTAATTATGAATGATCATACTGATCATATAATTATGTAAAATAATTTCATACTTATTTCAAGTCTCAGCAATATATTTTGTCTAAAACCCCACATTTTTGCTTTATGTCTACACTTCATTTAAAAGTAGCTTTTAAATTGTTTGTTATTTGTTATACAACTTCCCACACAAATGTATAACGCAGTTACTATTAAATTAAGAATTTATTATGTGAGTTCAACATTATCTGTGATAAAGTACTGAGTTAGGGGATATCTGCATATATAATAATTTTAAACAGTAGGTGTTTTATTTACCAAACCTCTTTACACTTGCAAAAGGTTATGTTGCTCATGATTTTACAATTTGTGCTCATGTATTATAAAATCTGACTACCAAAAGATGCTGCAAATAAACATGATCTGTTGTACCACATCACTTGATATGGGGCTATTCTGGCAAAATAATAGTTTCTCAGCTATGTAAGGGGTTTTCTAAGTACTAATGCCTAACTACATGTTTAAAAACCATATCATATTAGTTAAAATAGAAGATGCAGACTAAACAAAACTAAACCAGTATGAAACGGTTTAAACAGAGAACCTTATTCTCCAAAACCCTCTATTCAAATGTGTACTTTTGAAGTGCAAGTTTCACTCTGATTTGAATGTGGACTTCTTGTAACACCAAGCTCTGGAATCCCCAATAAAATTTTAGCTGTTCCCTGAACCAGTTAAAACACCAAACAAGCCAATGTAGCTTTCTTTCTGAGAGTCTTAAACTATTCATAGCACTTCTATGGTATTGCATGATGCCAGATTATTCAAATAAACTGCTGTAAGAGCATATTAATTCCAGTAATTATTTGTCACCTATTGTCACATCATCAGCTTTTTCATTGCTTCCAGCAAAACCTTAGAGACCTCATTTATGAATGTGTTTTGTAGTCCTTAAAGCAGCACATATGATTTTGAAGTCTTAGTTTTAAGGTGATTTAATTATATTTTAATGTATATTAATTATCAATAAAATAAAAGAAAATTGCCCCCACTGACATATCTTTCCATATAAGTTGTTTTTCAGAAATAGGGTTTCACAAATAAAATATTCATGGATTAAAAGAAAAGTAAGATGTGGAGAAAGTTCTCTTTTTTTCTCTTTCCTTCCTTTTTAGGAGCACCCCACGAACTAATTTTTCAGTACAACAAAAACTTTGGTAATAATTTGAGTAGACTTAGTAACTACTCTTTGAATTTGTTTCTTAGCAACAATATTTAATGAACTTTCACTACACCAGTGCCCAAAAATGGATGCAGATGTGTTTGTAATATAGATTAATGAAGAGATTTAAAACTAAAAAAGGAATATGAAATGTATTGTTATCTGGATTATAAAGTTTCCTTATTTTGAGAGACGAACAATACATTTTTAAATATATGAAATCAGAAACACTGAAGTGTAAAATGTCTCATGAAAAAGGAAAAGCAGATATTTTAGTAATATTTTCAAAAGCAAAAAATTAAACAGGATTATTTTTATTTCTGGAAATATATGCAGTTTTGCTGGTTCGTAATTTTTCCACAAAGCATGTTATATGAAATTACTTTATAACTTTATATCTATTAACGATTTAAACCGTCAAATAATTTTGCAAATTTGGACAAGTAGTTGCTTTTTGTGCTGCAATTTGTTTTGCAATATTGTCCATTTTTACTTGACTATTTACATCAAAATATATTTTGAAATTCTTCCTGAAATCACTTAGTTTTTAGGCTCATGAAATCTATTTAACCTCACTTTAGAGATGTGTTTGTATCATGGGAAGACTTCACAGCAGGATTCAAGGTAACTCAAGCAGCTGGCCTTATAGGTGGAAAGTTATACACACACACAATTAAAAAGTACCCCATAGTACTTTCAAAATGCTCTCAAACATTCCTCAAAATCCTATAAAACCAAGTATAATATAGCAAATTCATAATTGTATAGTATGATATAGAGGGTTTATTGGCATCTATTTAGAAGAATGAGTAACATATATTATTCCTGGCTTCCCCACTCATTAGTATTGGACCATCATAAATTCATGCAGGCAAAACATGTATACTAAACAGAGCAACCAAATATATTCTCTATTAAGTATCTTTGTAGAGAAAGCTTTGAGGATGGGTTTTGTGATGTGCAAAACTTAGTAAGGTAAAATGTTAAAATTGCAAATTTGAACACAAAACTTGCATTGAAAATGGAAAACATAAGGGCTTAAAGTTATCCCACACTGCATGTGCTGAATATGAAGTTGTATATGTAACTGATTCAATGCCTCTCACAGGCAGTCTTTATCAATAAGATCCCAAGAAAAACCCAGCTGGAATTTAAAGCTACCTTTCCCATGTGGAATCCACTAAGTAAGACAAGAAGCAAATACTGCTGCCTGTCCATCCTCAAAAGTGAATACTGTTACAATCAGAGATGTTGATTATGCCCTATGTATATGAATCTGGTCCAAAGTTTTGAAGTTGGAAAGGAAAACAAAAATATTAGAGTGCAAAAACTTGAAATATTAAAAATATGGAAACAATAAGCCAAGGCAATGGGCATGCAGATGTGATGAGATATCAATGTTCATGTCTAGAATTATTTTTAGAAAAAGTATTAATATGCATGTATTTGAATTGTATTCAGATTATCTTATTTATATATGCTAAAGTTTTGACATTTTTAACTAACTTTTTGGGTGTATGTAGTTCTACCAATTTTTGTCACTTGCTTTAGCAAGCAATCTTCACTTTAATTTAACAAAAACATTTGGGAATTTCCAGTTTATTAATTTAATACACTACAGTAAGAACACAAATTTGGTTCCTGTAAAACTTGCAATGTATGCATGGACTTCTGCAAACTCTAGTGCACAGCACATAAAACTTTATTTGCAGAAAAGTACCAGTTATTTGGCACAAAATTCCATTTCTCCTCCCAAATGGAATCAGGGGTGTTATGTGCATTTTTTTTCTCAGTAGCTTAAGTCAGAGTGAGGCTTCTAAATGTTCAGAAACAAGGATGGAACCTTGAAATTTATTTGCTCTCGTTTTTTGAATGAGTGGTAGAACCAGCTCCATCGAGCTTGATTTCAGCTGACAGCTGAGAGGACATGTGAAGTTCGTTTAAAAAAAATAATTGTGTGAATGTCTTTCTGTACTGAAGTATTTTAATTATATAATATTATGTACACAAAACCATATGTGCTGAGATATTTTCAGGACATAAAATATATTAATGCATAGCACTGTGTTCAATGTCAATAACTTCATCACAGGATGACATCTGCACTATCTCCATGAACTGAATGATAGTTGTACCGTTGTCTTTCCAGCTAGCCCATCCTCCATCTCCACAAAAAAAAAAAAAAAAAAAAAAAAAAAAGTGAGCAATCTTGGGTTCCAACTGGTTTAAGCGCCACATGAACTGATTCTCATTAGTAACTGAATTCCATAATTGTCCTTGAGGTTCTGTCAAGAATTTGGTGGAATGGATCAGCTGGGAGGGGAATGAAGATCAAGAATCCCAGATGTGTTTCCCAATCCTGAGAGAGTAGTTTGGCATCTGTTTTCTGCATTCTTGTGCAGCAAATTCCAATATTTGTAGGAATCGGCTTTATACAAAGTGCTCCCGGCAGCACTAAGCGTTCATTTCCCCCTCTCCACTGTAAGCTCTTTGGGGGCAGGGACTGCTCTTTGTTTTTGTCTTGTCAAGGTCAAACACATTGTGATTGCTTAGCGAAATAATAATAAAGCCCGGGCCATGCTTCATTTAGTAATATTTATTATTGGGTGTCCGTACCGCTGTTGCCTATGGGGCCCTTTGAGGGGCTCCAGCAACATAAATAATTATTATTGTGCTTATAAAGCACCTAGCAGAACAGTACCCCAGTTATGACCGGGGGTCCTTTGGCGCTGCCTCAGAGCAAATAAGAATCCTCCGAAGGTTTTTGCTCCCTAATGATGTCTCTCGCTTTCCCCCCCGGGGTGCATGCCTCTGGCAGTTGCGCTAGCGGCGACCCTTGCGGTATGTGGCTGCCTTTGGCAGAGGCACATGAAGGATTTCATTGAGTGTGAAGACAGAGAGCAGAGACAGAAAGCAGAAGGAGGCGGCTGCAGCCTTTGTAGTCGGGGAGGAATGCGGAAATGTTAAAGCACTATGTCAAACTTTTTTGAAACGGGGTCAAGTCACATTCAGCCAGCGTGGGAAAGCAAAGAGAAAAAAAGTTGAGGGGGGGGGGGCTTGCGAGCTGTGCTGCCGCCGCTGTTCTCAGAGAGAGCAGGAGCCGAGCGAGGCTACAGAGAGAAGCAGCGGCAGAAGGCGGCGTGGAGGGCTGGTTTCCGAACCCCGCACACGGGGGAGCCCTGCAGGACTTTGATCCGCTGCAGCCTGGCAAACGCGGGACTTTGAGTCACGCTTTTTTTTTTTTTTTTATTCCCAAGCGGGAGGGGAGGAGGGAGGGTGGCGGGCCGAGGCTGATCTGAATTAAAGCTCCCTGGGCAGGAAGGTGCTGCAGGAGGATGCGAGGGGAAGGCAGCAGCAGTAGAGCCGAGGAGGAGCAGTTGCTACCTGTGTGGCCCGGGGTGCTACGGCAGAGACCTGCTGGAAGCATCATGTGAATATTTATTACCCGGTTCGGGTCTTGGCTCGCGGGAAGCGAATGGGAGGTTTGCCTCCAGGAAGGTGACCCCCCCTTCCTCCCCCAGCGGGAGATTATCTGGGGCTCGTGCGGCGATCGGAGCAGCGTGGAGCGGACCAGGTAATTTGGAAGTGGCCATGTGCTTCCTCTAGTCTAGTGTTACTGCCGAGTGCTCCGCAGGCCCCCTTCCCCGCTGGGTGGCTTGCGGCGAAGGGGGGCTTCTCTGCCTCAGGCGGCGTGATTGTGAATCTGGGGCTTTGTGGGGGGCCGGCCCCCCAAGATGTTCATCCCTGGCGGGAGGGGTGTAATTGCTGCCGCCCCCCCCCCCTTCCTCGCCTGTGTGCGTTCTTAGTAGGGGATGGGGGCAGGGAACCGCCGTGCATGTTCCCTGGGCACGAGGCTGGGGGGGCTTCACGCCTGTTTTCGGGTGTTTCCGTGGGTGGCTCCCCCACGCTTCTTGTGGGGACAGTCGCCTGTGCCGCCGCCGCATGCATCCGCATGCATCCCTATTGGGCTGGTCGGGGGGAGGGGGCTCTCTGCACGCCTTCTCCCTCGGGGGTGCTTTTGTCCGTCCTCCTCCCCCATCCCGCAGCGTCCTC